ACCAATCACAACAGACTGAGCCATCTGACCAATCAGAGCAGAGCCATCTGACCAATCAGAGCAGAATAGACCAATCACAACAGACTGGGCCATCTGACCAATCAGAGCAGAATAGAAAAATCACAACAGACTGAGCCATCTGACCAATCAGAGCAGAGTAGACCAATCACAACAGACTAGCCCATCTGACCAATCAGAGCAGAGTAGACCAATCACAACAGACTAGCCCATCTGACCAATCAGAGCAGAGTAGACCAATCACAACAGACTGGGCCATCTGACCAATCAGAGCAGAGTAGACCAATCACAACAGACTAGCCCATCTGACCAATCAGAGCAGAGTAGACCAATCACAACAGACTAGCCCATCTGACCAATCAGAGCAGAATAGACCAATCACAACAGACTAGCCCATCTGACCAATCAGAGCAGAGTAGACCAATCACAACAGACTAGCCCATCTGACCAATCAGAGCAGAGTAGACCAATCACAACAGACTAGCCCATCTGACCAATCAGAGCAGAGGAGACCAATCACAACAGACTAGCCCATCTGACCAATCAGAGCAGAATAGACCAATCACAACAGACTAGCCCATCTGACCAATCAGAGCAGAGTAGACCAATCACAACAGACTAGCCCATCTGACCAATCAGAGCAGAGTAGACCAATCACAACAGACTAGCCCATCTGACCAATCAGAGCAGAGTAGACCAATCACAACAGACTAGCCCATCTGACCAATCAGAGCAGAGTAGACCAATCACAACAGACTAGCCCATCTGACCAATCAGAGCAGAGTAGACCAATCACAACAGACTAGCCCATCTGACCAATCAGAGCAGAGTAGACCAATCACAACAGACTAGCCCATCTGACCAATCAGAGCAGAGGAGACCAATCACAACAGACTAGCCCATCTGACCAATCAGAGCAGAATAGACCAATCACAACAGACTAGCCCATCTGACCAATCAGAGCAGAGTAGACCAATCACAACAGACTAGCCCATCTGACCAATCAGAGCAGAGTAGACCAATCACAACAGACTAGCCCATCTGACCAATCAGAGCAGAGTAGACCAATCACAACAGACTAGCCCATCTGACCAATCAGAGCAGAGTAGACCAATCACAACAGACTAGCCCATCTGACCAATCAGAGCAGAGTAGACCAATCACAACAGACTGATCCGTCTGACCAATCAGAGTAGAGTAGACCAATCACAACAGACTGAGCCGTCTGACCAATCAGAGCAGAGTAGACCAATCACAACAGACTGAGCCGTCTGACCAATCAGAGCAGAGTAGACCAGTCGCAACAGACTGGGCCATCTGACCAATCAGAGCAGAATAGACCAATCACAACAGACTGAGCCATCTGACCAATCAGAGCAGAGCCATCTGACCAATCAGAGCAGAATAGACCAATCACAACAGACTGGGCCATCTGACCAATCAGAGCAGAATAGAAAAATCACAACAGACTGAGCCATCTGACCAATCAGAGCAGAGTAGACCAATCACAACAGACTAGCCCATCTGACCAATCAGAGCAGAGTAGACCAATCACAACAGACTAGCCCATCTGACCAATCAGAGCAGAGTAGACCAATCACAACAGACTGGGCCATCTGACCAATCAGAGCAGAGTAGACCAATCACAACAGACTAGCCCATCTGACCAATCAGAGCAGAGTAGACCAATCACAACAGACTAGCCCATCTGACCAATCAGAGCAGAATAGACCAATCACAACAGACTAGCCCATCTGACCAATCAGAGCAGAGTAGACCAATCACAACAGACTAGCCCATCTGACCAATCAGAGCAGAGTAGACCAATCACAACAGACTGAGCCGTCTGACCAATCAGAGCAGAGTAGACCAATCACAACAGACTGGCCCATCTGACCAATCAGAGCAGAATAGACCAATCACAACAGACTGAGCCATCTGACCAATCAGAGCAGAGTAGACCAATCACAACAGACTAGCCCATCTGACCAATCAGAGCAGAGTAGACCAATCACAACAGACTGATCCGTCTGACCAATCAGAGCAGAGTAGACCAATCACAACAGACTGAGCCGTCTGACCAATCAGAGCAGAGTAGACCAATCACAACAGACTGAGCCGTCTGACCAATCAGAGCAGAGTAGACCAGTCGCAACAGACTGGGCCATCTGACCAATCAGAGCAGAATAGACCAAACACAACAGACTGAGCCATCTGACCAATCAGAGCAGAGCCATCTGACCAATCAGAGCAGAATAGACCAATCACAACAGACTGGGCCATCTGACCAATCAGAGCAGAATAGAAAAATCACAACAGACTGAGCCATCTGACCAATCAGAGCAGAGTAGACCAATCACAACAGACTAGCCCATCTGACCAATCAGAGCAGAGTAGACCAATCACAACAGACTAGCCCATCTGACCAATCAGAGCAGAGTAGACCAATCACAACAGACTGGGCCATCTGACCAATCAGAGCAGAGTAGACCAATCACAACAGACTAGCCCATCTGACCAATCAGAGCAGAGTAGACCAATCACAACAGACTAGCCCATCTGACCAATCAGAGCAGAATAGACCAATCACAACAGACTAGCCCATCTGACCAATCAGAGCAGAGTAGACCAATCACAACAGACTAGCCCATCTGACCAATCAGAGCAGAGTAGACCAATCACAACAGACTAGCCCATCTGACCAATCAGAGCAGAGGAGACCAATCACAACAGACTAGCCCATCTGACCAATCAGAGCAGAATAGACCAATCACAACAGACTAGCCCATCTGACCAATCAGAGCAGAGTAGACCAATCACAACAGACTAGCCCATCTGACCAATCAGAGCAGAGTAGACCAATCACAACAGACTAGCCCATCTGACCAATCAGAGCAGAGTAGACCAATCACAACAGACTAGCCCATCTGACCAATCAGAGCAGAGTAGACCAATCACAACAGACTAGCCCATCTGACCAATCAGAGCAGAGTAGACCAATCACAACAGACTAGCCCATCTGACCAATCAGAGCAGAGTAGACCAATCACAACAGACTAGCCCATCTGACCAATCAGAGCAGAGTAGACCAATCACAACAGACTAGCCCATCTGACCAATCAGAGCAGAGTAGACCAATCACAACAGACTAGCCCATCTGACCAATCAGAGCAGAGTAGACCAATCACAACAGACTAGCCCATCTGACCAATCAGAGCAGAGTAGACCAATCACAACAGACTAGCCCATCTGACCAATCAGAGCAGAGTAGACCAATCACAACAGACTAGCCCATCTGACCAATCAGAGCAGAGTAGACCAATCACAACAGACTAGCCCATCTGACCAATCAGAGCAGAGTAGACCAATCACAACAGACTAGCCCATCTGACCAATCAGAGCAGAGTAGACCAATCACAACAGACTAGCCCATCTGACCAATCAGAGCAGAGTAGACCAATCACAACAGACTAGCCCATCTGACCAATCAGAGCAGAGTAGACCAATCACAACAGACTAGCCCATCTGACCAATCAGAGCAGAGTAGACCAATCACAACAGACTAGCCCATCTGACCAATCAGAGCAGAGTACACTCACAAGGGGTTTAATGACTGAATCTTCTAATTAACTGCTTTCAGACTCTTTGAGCAATTTGGTGATGCTGCAATGTGCAGTTATTATGAGAAAGTTTAAGGTTTTTTTTTTATTATTTGGATGCATATATAAGCCTGTTGTAGACATCTAAAACAAAAATTGGAACTTATAAAATAGCATAGCAGAGGGACTTCAATAGGATATTAATCCTCTGTTCCGGTCATTTTATTTATTATTTTATTGATTGTTCATCTGAGCGGTACAAGACCTTGCTTAATGGTTATGTTATTTAATTCTTTCTTTAGACAATAATACATTTTTTAAAATAAAATAATATGTTTACCATGTGCTTCTACAGAATATTGTAAAGAGTATGATCAAAGTGAAAGTCTCATTGTTTGCATGTATTAGCTTATGTTTGTAATTAAGTATCCACGGGTTGCTGAGAGCTTCTTTATTGTTCTTATATAATGTCTGTCCAATGTCAAGAGCTGCCAAGTCGAGTTCTTCAGAGGAGCAATCTTTCCTAGCCAATAACAATCTCTTCTGTTCTACACTGACAGCACACTTCAGCTTAAAAAGATGCCTTTTAATGTCATGTCCTCCTATCAGTATTACTGACTCATTTATCTTTTTTCATTGAAAATAGGCAGAATGATGGATAGGTTGGTACAAAACGAAGATGTAACAATGGCATAAGAATAAACACACACACATGAAGAAGAAGAAAAAACCTGGGTGGCATATTTACTACATAAATGCTATTGAAATATACAGCTGCTCTATTCTGTTCAGAAAATTCAAGTATTCAATAAACAATTCCGAAATAAGTAAGGACAAGCTTATGAATGATCTGTAGTCAGAGTCACTCAGTGCATGTTGTTCACAAAAAAACAGGACTCTTTTTAGCTGCACAGTCGTGTGTGTGTGTGTGTGTGTGTGTGGGGGGGATATACAGTTTATACAGTATAAAATAATTATGCAGAGTCCCCACAAAGATAGCGAAACCGTGTGTGTGTGTGTGCGCGCGCATGAAAGTCATGGAATTTTCTATGGTGATTCTAATTTTTAAATTATGTACCCACGTCTTCTAGTTGTAAAATATCATATGCATTTTGAATCATACAACCATCCACTCTTCTCCGTGTAGAAGATTCTGCTGATAATTCCAGATACAGATAAAGATACATCAGTCATTTTATTACTGATGTTATCTGGAGTGTTTGGTTTTATCCCAGATAAAGGAGAGAGAGAAAGGAGAGCGCCTTTGTGCGTCCATCACACACAGTGTGACAGCGCGTCCGTTACGGGCTCGGCGCTAGGATCCGGCGGATCTCTCTCTCTCTCTCTCCCTCTCTCTCTCTCTCCCCCCCTCTCTCCCTCTCTCTCTCTCTCTTCCAAGCCTGTTTTAAAGTCTCTGCCAGACTTCAGCTCATGCGCTACTTCCTGGATGGCGGAATGGAAAGCTTCCAGAGCCGCTCCAACTCTTTTCTCTGTGTTTTCAGCGTGATGCATGGACTACCGTTCCTCTAACATCTCTCTCTTAATCCACAATCCATGTCCCCCCCTTGACATGTTTCTCTCCTGGACTACGAGCTCAGCCATCTGAAAGAGAGAAAGAGAAAAGAAAAACTGTTTCCTTTGGCTTGGTCGAACTTTAAAAGAAAAATCTCTCCAACAGGACTCACTAAAAGGAGGCGGCCGAAATACATTGCGTTCGCATCGCTTGTTTGTGGGAGTTTTGTCGTTCAGCTGGAGGATAACTCTGTCAACAGTTGCCTTATTCCAGATCTCCATGTATACAGTGTGACATGCGGAGGCTACTGCGACCGCGCTGCTGCTGCTGGTGGATTCCGCCTCTGCTTTTCTCCTCGCTCCTGCTCCGCTGGGCACATTGTCATCCCGGTAAGTTGGATTCGAGGTGGATGAGAATTGTTTTCAAATCGCTCCATTTATTATTATACGAGTAAGACCACTACATTGGCTGCGTAAGGTTGAGGGAGAACAAAAAAAAAAACCCATTTGCACAATTAAAACCATGCGAACGCGAGCGAGGCTTTAGTATTTTTTTCTGCTGTAGCCTAAGTCATGGAATTGGGACGATCATACACGGAATTGTAACGCACATAATGACGTCTATTGATATTTCAATATCCACAAATGATCCGCTACTGTTATTTATAAGCGCGCGGACCCGTTATCTCTAAATCCGTTCTAGGAAAAGACATTAGCCGATGTCTTTCAGCAGGTATTATAACATATTTGATTTAAGCAGTTTTAATTATAATGCACACTTGAGACATCTTTAGTTTAAGCATAACTTAGCAGCATTTCATTCCTTGACGACTTTTAACGTGATTTACGCACTTTCTTTTGAAAAAAGACAGTCTTATACTTTATTAGTTATCGGTTATTTAAAATCGGGTCATAATTTAATGGGTCTCTTAAGAATAACAACCAGCTACAAAGTGTTCAGCAAAAAACTACATTGTTTTCAAATGAGACTACTTTTTAATTTATTGTTTGCATAATTAATCCTAACTTTTCCAAAAGAGCAACGCATATCATTTTAAAATTAAGTTAAACATTATCCAAAACAAAAATGCAAACACATCTCTTAGGCTACATTAGATCATGAAGCAGGTTTCATACTGTTTATTATTATACATTAATGATAAATAGCCTAAAAAAAGAATAAATTGTGAATATTTTGTTATTCATTTTCATACATTGTTTCTATGGTTGCAAGCTAATGATTTTTAAACTATTATTGTGTCAAAAGCGTGTATCATTATTGGTTGTTCCGATGCCGCTCAGTAATGCTAAGCAGCATAATTTTGGGATCGGAAAAAAAGGTTATTATTTTTTATTGGTTGTTACTCTTTATTGATACTTCAAATGTGATGATCTGAATGATCAGGCAAGTAGGGATGAAGCATTAAATATGAATTCCCACAGTAACTAACAGTGCGTCTTCGAAAACGTCATAAGAATATGATTTCCGGGGGCTCGTCCGGGTTTAAATATATATAAATGTATATTTGATGGCATCTTGTTTAAGATGACCTGGGTCGTGCGAGTAATGGGTGAGGATGTCTGTGATGATAGACAGCAGCCAGAGAAAGAACAGTCTGAGATTCACCAGTCATCTTTAACCAGGAGACTGATAAGCTCTGCATATTTGCATGAGTTTTTATGTAACGCTGGAGGTGTCAAGTCTAATGTATAATTCTAGAGTATGACATTCTCAGGTCTTCGAATGAAACCTTATGGAAGCAGACCAAGAGCAAGGACTGTTTGTGCTCTTTTACCTAAATCTACGCAGGCAAACACATGTGAAATGAGTGACGAGAAAGCCATATTCATAAACAAGAAATCCATACAAACGAAAGATAACATGGTTTGCATCTGCGCTGTGTATTGCATTTTTTAAAAGTGTGTGCGTGCATGCAAACCATGTGTTCAGAAATCTCATTAAAAGACAGAACACATTGTGTTTATCTCTCATCTTTCCATCTAATCTGATATCTTGGTACATAAAATGCTAATACATCTCAAAATACGTAAAATTTCCACAATAGCTGACCTACTTCTGGGGAGCCTGATGGTTTTGTGTTATCAAATGACCATTGCTTTGCATACATATTAAAACGTTACTTTGTTGGTAGTCAATCACTGTCGCAGGAATAAACTAATATTAACGCTGCGTTCTACCCAAGCTTTTACGGTTTCTCTGGACACTGCACTTCAGATACGGTATCGGTTTTTCTATTCTTTTCTTTCGCCACTAGTTTTCATCACGCATTCTATGTGATCCAAAACTACAAGAGCCGGGCACTCGGGGACTCAGTGGACATAAGGGTGAGCACTTGAGCGCTGACAGTGAGATAAAGTGTCTAAGTTTCTGCATCTCAAACAGCCGAGAGATTTCATCAGGCCCGTGATGAACGCTCCATGAATAACACATTGTCACCAAAGGGCAAATGCCTGACTCAAGGTTGTGGACATTATTGGCAATCTTTTCCGTCTGTTTTTCTGTTTGCGCCTCTCTCTCTTGTGTCTGTCGCAGTGTGTGTTTCTGTCTATCTTACTGTCTCCGTCTATCAGAGTTGATTTCACCGAGAGAAAGGTGCACACTTCCAATTCTCGAGTCGGAAGGGGGGTAGAAATGAAGTTACCGTAGAAGAAAAGACCACTTTAATGTGTTCCGTTTGTTTGCCGTCATTCTTCCCTGCCCTCTCTGCTTTTTCTAGACACGGGTCTTTTAACCTCAGTGACATTTGTTCATGTCTGTGTCTGATAGACCTGTTTTTAGCAGAACCAGTGCTGCAGAAAGACAGGCGAGCTCGTGCTAGAAAAAGGGGAACGCTGCAACTTTATTTATTTCTGTCATGCCAGTGGGAAACAAGTGTCTGCACACTTGAGTCTCCAGTAATGGCCAGTTTGCTGACGGAGCAGAGCGGAAGCGAGAGGATTTCTCGACGGGGCGTCTGTTGGCCCCAGGCAACGCTCATCTCTTTACAGACGGTTGATAGCCGTTGGAGCCGATGGATGACTATCACGGAAGAGAAAATTCTAGCGCGGTGTCCACCTAACAATTTAAAGCTATAAAGCTCAACTTGTGAAACTAGCAAGCAAAAATCGTTTGACTTGCCATTCCGGAGGGAAGCAATAGAATTGATCTTTGTTTTTGTTTTTTTGGCTATTCTTTTCCGACCTCCTATCTACAGCGGATTCAAAGGATTCACCCAAAAGATGTAGAAACCGCCGGCGAAATGAGGAGGGGATTTCTAGATGGTTATTTCTGTCGCATGACGAATAGCATGCCACGCGCTGCAGAGCACAATGATAATTCAAATCTCTTAAGAGGTATCAGACTTCCTGCCTTTCTGATTTCCTTTTATGTGAGCGAGGAGCCATTTCTCCGTCTAATAGAAAAGGATAATTTGCTAAATGTCCGTTTGGAAATGACGGGCACTTAAGATGGGGGTAGAGTCTCAGGAGTGAGATAGCTGGAGCTGACATTTGGGCCGGACGGGATGCTCTAGCGGCCCCTGTAACAACATTATCATCATCATCATCATCTTCTCTCTCCGCTCGGGCCGTTATCTGTCCGGCTGGGTGACCAGAGCTGCTGTGATGTTCGCCAGGTCACCTTATCAGTCACGAAGCCTGTCATCGTAGCCCGGCTCCCCTAATAGATTGATTAAAAGATAGGGCCGTGCGGGCGGTTAAACGTGTGGGGTGATGTCAGGCTGCCGTAGGGTCGTTGTCCCAGAGTTTGTTAGCGTGTGTGCTGAATGTACCAAAGGAACCAGCAACATGGAAGGGAATAAGAACTCTCAACTCGGACGCTTTCTCAACTTTCTCTCTGTTTCATTTTTGCTCAAATATAAGCCTCACACCAAACATATTTTCCAATTCACTTGCAATTAATTAATTCTTTCAATAATGTTAATTTCAATTGATAGTTTTTGTTTTGCATTAAAAGAGTTTGTTTATTTATCTATTTATGTTCAAATTAATACTTTTATTCAGCAAGGATGCATTACATTGATTAAAAGTTACAGTGAAGCCATTTATAATGTTTCAAAAGATTTCTATTTCACACAAATGCTATTCTTTTTGAAATTTCTAGTATCACAGAATCCTGAAAAAAAAGTATAAAAACATATTAAACAGCACATCTGGTTTTAACATTGATAATAATAAGATAATAATAAGAATTGATAATAATAAGAAATGTCTTGAATCAGCATATTAGAATGATTTCTGAAGGATCATGTGACGCTGAAGACGGCTGCTGAAAATTCAGCTTAGCATCACGGGAATAAATTACAATTTATTGAAATTTAAATTACATTTTGGCTGTGGATGGTTTGGTTTGTACAGTAAGTGTGTACTCCTGACTTCTTGCATTTAATGTGTGTGTGGGTTTTTTGTATTACTCTTATAAAGTGTTTAAGTGTTTAAGCCAGTTTAATTGCTTCTCCTTTATACTTACGCTTAACAGACACTGTTATTCTAAAAAGCTTTTTTTTTACATTAACTCACACTGTTTTTTTCTCTCCCTCCTTTTTGTTGTGTTAGATGTCATGAATGGTTCTCAAGGAGTATTGGTGCTCTTCAGTGAAGGACTCATCTCCATTTTTCCTCAATAGTGTTGGTGAAGGCAGACGTGTTTGTGTGTGAGAGAGAGAGAGTGTGTATGTGCTCGTGCTGGTACATTTTCTCCTCATCTCCACTGGCAACCACAGCTCACAGTGTGTGCCAACCACTAAATGAAGTGGACATTCATGAAGCATGCTGGTAGATCCTGTCTTACAGACAGAAAACTGGAGATAACGAACCCAGCATGAAAATAATTTAAGTCATATAATGCTATTTTATCAGATAATGGCATTGCTATGGAGACAAAAAAAGTGTTATACTTGTGCACATACACGGTGCATACAGCATTCTGATCTTTCTGAGTGACATTTTTACCTATGTTTAAAATATGTATCAGAACCTCTGTCAGTGACCACTTTAAAGGAGAACTCCGGCGCAAAATGAACCTTTGGTCTAATAAAACATTGGTACCTAGTCAACCGTTCTCTGAGATTTGTTTTCATGATAATCGAATGTAAAGAGTTTTATCTCTAAAAACTGTTTAGCGTATAATGCTGTAATGGGGGCATTTAATAAGTAAAAAGAAATCGCTAGTTAATACCACTAACAAGGCTCAAAATAGCCCCACACGAACACAGTAACATAATGAGGGTCCCTACATGCACAATGAAGCATTGAGAACTTTGTAAGTGTACATACAGTTTAATAAGAAGATATTTTATGAAGACAGTCCACTTCGTGTATACAGACAGGAGCCATCTTTGGAAAACAGTCTCTCGACTAATCAAACCACG